AGGACAGTGGGTGGGGAGTGAGGGTGGAGGGTGGGGCGGGAACTGGGAGGAGGGGAGTTATGGGGGAAAAAAAAAGAGGAACAAATGTAATCTGAACAATAAAGATTTAATAAAAAAAAATCACCAATCTTTCTACTACTTAGAGATAGTGCTTTTATTTTTTAAGAACATATATATTTTTTGCCGTGGCCGTTGCTGCTCAGTGGTTAGAACACTGGCCTGCACACTGAAGGTTTGCGGGTTCAATTCCCAGTCAAGGCCACATACTTGGGTTGCAGGTTCACTCCCCAGCCTCATTGAGGCACGTGTAGGAGACAACCAATCTATGTGTTTCTCTCACATCATGCTTCTCTCCTTCCTCCTCATTAGCAACTAAAGGCTCAGTATTTTCAGTGGATACTCTGCCAAACACTTAAAGTCAGATAACTGCACTACTACTTAACCTATCCCAGAGCATAGAAAAAGAAGGAAAAGTTATGAATCCCAAACCTGACAAAGGTTGCACAAAAAGAAAACTATTGCCTGATCTCACTAATGAATAGTTATAAAAATCTTAACTAAAATATTAACAAATAGAATCCTAGAACATATTTAAAAATAATATCATGATCAAGTACAATTTATTAAAAAAAAGTCAGATGTTTCAATTTTAGGAGATCCCTGCAAATCATAATAAAGCTATGGAGAAAACAAGTAAGGTCATCTCCTAGACACTGCAAAGACATCTGGCAAAATTCAACTCTTAAGAAAACTGAAGCGACTATAACTTAGAAGAATTTCTCATTTGCCAAAAAATCCAATCAAATCCTTAACATTAAATATTGCAACTGTAAAGCTCTTTAAAAGAGTCTGCTAACAATGTAAGAGATATGAGGTATAAGAACATGAGGTACTCGTGTAATGGGAGCAATTATTTTTGAGAGACATTAAGAACTGATTTTAGGAACTATTATGCTTTTATGGTTTCCAAGTATGTGCTGTACATATGGCAAATTGATTACAATATTTAGTAATGGTGAGGTATTGAAGAGATGTTAAAATCATCTCTTTTGTCTGATTAAACCTGCTGCAACCAGTTAATGAAAGTATTCCATGTTATATGAAAATAATTGCAGGAGATACATTTCCAGCAACTATAAAACTATGTGGTGTGAGTATCTGTCTTATCTTATGGAGAATCTTATGAATAGTCACACATAGAAGGTGTTTACAAATGGAACCTCAACCTTTTTTTTTTTTAATCTACATATACTCATTTGGAGAACCATTCTTTCAGGGTCTGCAAACTGCCTTACCCATCAATGTGCTTGCAATGCCTCCTTAATTATTCCCCTCCTACTTCCCATGCCAGAACTCAGTAATGGTTTTCTTTGATAATTTCTAGGCTGAAGGCAATAATATTTCTTAAATTAGTGGATCAGAACTTCCAACCCTCCAGTCACCTGGGTGGCTAATGCTTTAATTTGCATAAAAACTGTGTTAAAATTTACTTCACGTAGGCGGAGGAGAAAAGGAAATGACATCAGAGGTGCTTTGTTAAAGATCAGAAGAACTGCAGCTGTGCCTCCTATTCATCAGGTAGAGCATTTATCTAGTTCTGTGACACAGTAGACTTTATTAGAACGGCTCTCTTAGAAAATTTAGAGCAGTCAACAAAAGCTGTCAGATTAACTTGAGAACTTAAACTCAAGTTCACTAGAAAATCCCTGAGCGTTACATCTAGAATCCTTACTGAAAACCTTGATAACTTCCTATTTTTTTACTAATGGGTTCTTGGTGGGTACTATCTCTCTATTGTATTTTTTTCCTTTTCAAAATTGGAAGGTAGACAAGATCACCTGGATGTCAAATATTTGGGACTTAAGTAAATTTTAACCTTCTGTTTATGGAACTTTTGTAAGATCAAGTCTTTGTGTTAATATTTAAAACTATTGGATTTTACTGACTATAAACATGGAAACTGGAAACCACATCTATAGTATATTTAGTGTTCTATTCAGATTTTAGCATAATTGGAATTTACGTTTTGAGAAAAGATTATTTACTAGATCATAAAAAAAGTGTCTGCTTTTTTTGATTCTGTGTTAGTTTTCCCCTCAAATCTTAAAATAGATACCCATACTTAATCAGAATGCAATACAACAAAAATTAAATGGAATTCACATAATATTGAGATCCTGGGCATCAATTCATCCATGAAACAAGACAGTATTCAACTGAGGGGGTGGGGTCATGACAGGAAGCAAGTACGTGGGTGGCTCTCAGGCACTGATCTCCTTTCTAGATCTGCAAACTGCTCATATGGTTTGTTCAGTTTTTAACAATTCACCGCCGTGCACACTGATGATATACACTTTTCTGTTTGTATACTTTAAAAGCTTAAAATACACGGTCTGTTCACAGCAGATGGGTGGTAGTTAACCGCCAAGAGTTCAATAGTCTTAATCTGCATATTAGGTACAGATCTAATATCCATGCTTCTGTGATAACTGATAAACCAGTACTGTGGTTCCCACACCTGAGACAGAAGACTTGATGAGCTACCTCCTCCTGTCTCTACTCCCTTCTTTAACTTGGCCCAGGGCTGGTGTGTGAGGGGGGCATCCAGCATTGTCAAGAATACTTTTTGAAGTAATAATGCAGTGTTTGATTTTCTGTGGTATCATCAATATATGATACTCTATTTCCCAGCCTCTCTACAGTCAGGAGTGACACATGATTGAATTGACAGGCAATGCAACAGAAGGCCTGGTCCATGAAAACCTCCTATGCAACATCCCGTTCACTCTCCTCCACTCACTGGACTGACGGTGATGAGCACGGCAATCTTGAAGGACTAGTATTGAGGATGGAGGACTCCACAAGAATCCTGGAACATTAATGCAGGAGGGCCACTTGCTAATCAGGAACCATTTTTGGACTTTATGTGACTGAGCTATTATACATTTCTGGGTTGGTTTGCTATAGCAACTGACATTAACTAAAACTAGAGGCTCGGTGCATGAAATTTGTGCACTGGTAGAGTCCTAGCAGCTGCCAGCTGCCAGTCTGGGCCTCCCTTCCTTCTCCTGGCTGCCTGCCAGCACTAGGGCCTCCCTCCCTTCCTCTGGCTGGCCCGCCCCCTGGTTGAACTCCTGGAAGAACTCCAGTTGAGGGGACAATTTGCATACTACCCTTTTATTATATAGGATTGTGAACCTAAGGAACTGATTAACTTTTAAGGAGATACCTACTTACACACCAAAATTATAATTTAATAAGTGCTATAATAAAATAATAAAAATTACATAAAAGTTGGAGGAGGAAGCAGTTTAATTCTTTCCAGGAGGGGTTCTTGAAGTAACATGTAAACTGAGGTTTGAAGACTAAATGGGTAATTTATCAGGGGGACAAGGTGGAGGGGAAGGGCTGAGGCCTCGTAAAGGGGAGGGTATGAACAAAGGCATGGACAGACAGAAAGTGCTCAGGAGTATTTGGATATGGCTAATTGTGTTTGTGAGGGGAGTGGTAGGAACTAAGACTAGAAAAGTGGTTTGGGGCCAGGCTGTGGTAAGGAGAATAAACATGATCTTGTATGCGGTGAGAATTATTCAAGGTTTCAAGTGACAGAGCATGCTAAGAGTAAACTGGAAAGGGAAGAGCTTGGAGATTCCTGGCTTAGAAGTAGTGGTAGTGAACACAAAGAAAAAGGGACAGCAGTGACAAATATTTTTGAGGTAAGAACTAATGTGAATAGCCCTGGTCAGTGTGGCTCAGTTGGTTGGGTGTCATCCTGCACACTGAAAGGTTGCCAATTTGATTCCTGGTTGGGGCACATGCCTGGGTTGTGGGCTTGATCCCTGGTTGGGGGCAAGCAGGAGGCAGTTGATTAATGTTTTGCTCTCACATTGATGTTACTCTCTCCCTCTAACAAAAAAAATCAATTAATAAACTAACGTGATTAGATGTCTTGGGCAGGGGGAGGGGATAAAGGTGAAGAGGAGTTAAATTGTATCATAGAAGAAAAAAAATCTTAAGTACTGAGAGAAGTGGGTGTTCTGAAATCAGGAAGTCAGGACAGATGGTGGAGAGAGAGGAGAATCATCATAATTACTTGAGTTTTAAAATTACTGAGTTGAAAACACCTTTTTGAATCCCTTGAACAGGTCATGGGGGATTATGGGTCTGGCCTAAAATGTATTTACTTTAGGTATGGGTCATTTTTTGAAAGTGAGAATAGGAGAAAACCCTTAATTTTCCAGCAGGAAATTCTAATCTATTTTGTAATTTAAATTTTATTCATTAAGAAGTGGTAATCATATAATTTAAACAAATAATTATAAAAGAGTAGATAGAGGGAGAAGTCCTTCTTTTTCTCTGTTTCTCAAGCAACCCATTTTCTCTTCCCAGAATAACCAATGTTATCAGATATCTTATAGCCTTCTTCCTGAGACAGTCTTCAGTCATACAAGCAAATATGTGGAAATCTTCCTTTCCCCCTCCTCTTTTATAACACACTAGAGGCCCGATGCACAAAATTCATGCAAGAGTAGGCTTTTCTTCCCCCGGCTGCCGGCACCAGCTTCCCTCTGGCACCTGGGACCTGGGCTTCCCTCACAGCCCTGCTTCTTCCGGAAGGATGTCCGGTCTAATTAGCATATTACGCTTTTATTATTATAGATATACATAAACTACCCCCCCCCACCTTCCCTGGCCAATGGTCATTTACATACCTTAGAGTGGCACCCTCAGTCTTAACCAAATCTCCATCTTTTAGATAAATATATTGTTGCTCTCCATCTCCTATAATTTCTTCTCTCTGAGGATTCCGTGGGAGTTTTTTAATGCAATATGGAGTGTCTAGTGACAAAACATGTAAAATATTTAAGTCACACTTTAAATGACAATTCAGCCTTTTAAAAGGCCAGTTTTCATAGAATACCTGTGAGTAGCTGCAAAAAATATTAACATTAGAGACAACAGAAAATGAGGTGAATTATAGCTGCTTATCTCTGGGATGGTAACTGTTTCTTCTATCTCAACAAAAGAGCTTTCACTCTCTAATGCCCTCCTAGCTCTACATAAAAGTCTTTGTGTTTTTCTAGTCACTCCTATTTTATACAATAGTTTGAAAGTTCTACATAATCTCAGCTAGCTTTGATATCAAGATGGGTGTTGAAGAGGGAGTAATATAAAACGTAGGAACTTTTCTCTGTCTAGGTGCCTAACATATAGTAAAAGAAGTCCTGGCATCATGGCATTAGTTAATAATAAAAGAATCCTATCTAATAAAAGAGAAACATGGTAATTAGCGTACGACCGCTACCCTTCCCATTGGCTAATCAGGGCGATATGCAAATTAACTGCCAGCCAAGATGGTGGCTGGCAGCCAGGCAGCTG